AAAAAAAAATTGCCTCGCCCCTTAGTATCTCACCTTCTCAAAGAATTAAGTTTTCATCAATAAAATGTTTGAACAAACCCTTTACTAATCAATGGTGCGTTTAAGATTAATGTGAAGTGTTATAACTATGATTGTATTAAATTGTATTATATTATAGTTGTGGTTAAAAATTATTTTGATATTTAATTATTTATTTCTTAAAGATATCATGGATGACATATGACAAAATTTATTATTAATAATTAAAATTTAAAAATATTGTATGATATATAATTACTAAAATAGACAAAATTTACTACTTTGTAATAATTTAGATTTTTAAAATTTTATATGATAAATGTTTTTTTGAGTTTTGCACTGAGTATCTTACAAAGAGGGAATAAGTTTTAATTTTTTATGTAATATTTAAATAAATTAGAGGTTAAGTTTAAATGAAAAATTATAAATTGTGATATAATTGAATTAAACGATATTGAATTTTAATAAATAATTTTGTAATTGTATTAAATATTAAATATTACATATTAGATATTATCTATGAAAACACAATAAAAAAAAACTTTAAAATGAGATTTCTCACTTTATATATTAAATTATTGTGGATCTATTATAATTTTATATAATTTAAAAAATTAATCTAAAAAAATTACCAAACATATATATTTAAAAATATTATATGATTAAAAAAATCTTAATCGCAATCCCAAGCACAATCTCACTGCCTAAGTCATCGCTGGAAGGTATAATGTTCTACCCCAAACTTTCATTTATTGACAAAAAGAAGTTATGGTACGTAATTGAGAATTTGACAAAAGTAAAATTTAGTCGAGAACGACAGGAATAGTAACTATGTTAGCCCATCAACTTATTTTGTTTTCCTGATTTACCCTCAGACTTATTTTTTGTTTAATTAATCCCTCATGCATTGCTTTGTTAGAACGAAAGTTAATAAGAAAAATTGAATGTGAATATGATGTCTCTTTTAATTCCGTATCCAGCTAGCTTCTTTACATTATTACTTTCAAATTAATGTAGTTGTATATTTTCTTAAAGAAAAAAAAATTATGTTATAATGTAAGGTCTCATATAAATTATAGATTTTTTTAATTTGTGTCTTTAGAAACATTAAGTTATATAGAAGGAATAAAACTTAAAATTAATTTTAATAATTAACTAATTCAATAAAGACCCGTGATATTGATGTTAAAACTAATATAAACTTTTTTTTTTCATATGAATTAATGTCTAAAAAGTAAATTAATCACACCCTTAACCAAGTTAAAAAAATCCATCAATTATTAATTATTGATTTTCAAATCTAAAATTTGAAAATATTTAATAATATATCTCAATCTATTAGATATTATATATAAAACTTATACATGGTAACTAAATCTTAAATTTACGTTATAATAAAAGAAACATCATACCAATTAACAATTTAAAATGTTTACTTATAATCTTGTTTTGATAATATAATTATAATTTTTAATTTTGAATCATATATAACATGCATGAAAGGTGAGTAAAGAGATGGAATAACTTTTGTTATCAACTCTAATCTTTTTTCTTTTCTTTTTTTTTGATAGTAAAAAATTTCAAAAAAAGAAAATCTGAATATAGAACTTAAATTTTGGGTGTCTAAGCATTTTCTGCATTGAGATAACCAATAAACCACTATGTGCTGGATGTTATCAACTCTAAACTTAGTTAGGGTTGCATGATCTTCAAAATAAGTTTTCAAGGGTCGAACAAAGGAAAAGAACTAAATGTAGGACTAGCTTAGGAGGTAGTAAATAATAAAAATGGAATTGAGAGAATAAAGAACACAAAATTTCAAGAAAGGAACCAGTGAGTGTGAGACTTGCTCTTGAAAATGAGAGTCACCACAAAACCACAAAATGGGTTGGGGGAGGTCATGTGGTGGGGCCCAACCTTACAATCATTACACATGCATTACACATTCTCTTCTCCCTCCTGCCCATGCTGCCCGTTGCCCCTCATTTTTGCCGTATTATATCCTTGTAAGTTGTAACTTGACAATTTTGTCATCCCCTGTTAATTTTTAGAGTTTCGACGATGTTTTGCACGAGATACCATCCCTTAATTTACAAATTTTGATCGGACATTAAAATTAAAAAGTTTAAATTACTATAATACCAAATAATTAATTTTTTAATATATTAAAAAAGAGTTAACATTTTGTAATTATAATCATATTATATTATTAATAAACAAATGATAATTAAATTTTATTTTTTGTGCATAACTGTTTACACTTATTTTTATAAATTAATTAAAATGAGTTACATGTATCATTTGTTCTAAATTTGAAATAGTTAAAATGTGTTGTTAGTAATTACCATGTGGTGATCTCATTAATTAAATCACTTTCGATGATTAATTTTTTTTCAAAATCTATGTAAATGTTTATAACCACATCATTTATAAAGCAGGTTAGTGGTTACATACTTTTAGGAGCATGATCAATAGTATTAATGAGTTAGTTGGTTTGTTGTAGATTTTACGTTACCATTGGTTTTCATGATATTATTAGTAGAACTCCACCATACTGCCAAAGCACTATAAATTATTGATCATGAGATCAAGTAAGCAAGATCAACCTCTCATATAACTTACTAGTGTTATCTGTATTTCAATTTTTGCAAATAATATCTTAGTTTAGATTAAACAACTTTTTTAGTTTAGTTTTTAATTTTCCATTGCCACTAGCTTTAGTTCTAATTTTTGTTATTTTGTTTTAAATATCTTTGTGTAATTTAATTTGTTACATTTTGCTCTAAATTCATTTTCCTAGTTTCCTTTAAGTTTAGTTTTATGTTTAGTTTTATGTTTCTAACTTTTATTTCATTATTTGCGCTTACGTGCTTTTGCCACGGTATCACACTTCTTTCTTGCAATTTAGCCTCCCTGCATGCACTCTCTTTCTTTTATTTTCCTCTATTTTTCTCTTTTATTTTGACTAGTAAATTAACATTTTAACCCTAATTATGGAAAGTCTTTAATGGCCTTCTAAAGTAATTATTTATAGACTTTTATGTAGGCATATACTTCATTTCTACAACAATTAGCTACTCAAGACGCATCGCATAATTTATATAATAAATTTTCTTTCATCAACTTGTAATTGAGTTCTATACTTAAAAATAGTAAGAGGTGTCAGGAAGCCCTCTTTCTCACTTTAAATAAAATAAGTGACACACTTACACAATCTCATATGTCATGCAATCAAAAAGAGAGATTTTGGAGACAACAATAACTACTTCTTAGTTAGATCAATAAATATTTTCAGTTGTTGAAGATGAAAAACCTAAAAACCAGCAGTTTATTGATATGAATGAAAGTAATTTAACTTTTCTTAAATAAAATCTTAAGAATCGAGTCTTTTGAATAAAAACAACATACACTGAGAAAGTTTTTCCTTATTAAATCTGACGCAACTCGACTCTATATTAATTAAAATTTAATGTGACTTTACAACAAATATTTTCAAAGGTCAAGTTATTTTACGAAAAATTAAGCAATTGAAGTAAATAAGAAAAAGACCAAAGTCAGTATAAAATTAGAAACACTTTCTTAACTCTAAATTTACTTTTAACTACAAAGTTAAAATATCATTTTCAAAAGTAATTCATTAATAATATTATCAAAATTTCTATCATTCGTCTCCTTCCTCTATTCCAAAATAATAGAAATGTTTTTTACTTTTTTTAATTATAGAATTAAAAATTTAAAGAAAATTTTTATTTTTACTTATTTTATTCTTTAAAAACAAATTTATGTATGTTAGGATGAATAATTAGAATAAAAAAATTCATAATGTTAAATAAAAAAAAAGATGTTCTAACACCCTTAAAATATGAAAAAATTACTGTTATTTTAAAACAAATTTCAAATAAAAAAATCTATTATTATGAAAAAAAGGGGGTACTTTCTAGAATGCCGCATAAATTTAATATTTTCATCCCCTCCAAATTTTAGAACGAATTTAGACCATCACCCTCAATAAATAAAGTTACCCCATCAACCCCTCCAAGCAACAGAGAAAAATGGATTTGGAAAAATTGAAAAGCATTTCCAAAGCCCTGCTTTGAACCAGTAATAAATCACCACAACATCACCATTTATGTCAAATTTATAATCAAAATCTTAAGCAACAATAATAATAATAAACTTCCATATGTTAAAAAACAAGGAAACAATCCAGTTCAAAACAGTATCTTGACAAAAAGAAAGCAACATGCTAGTCTTTCAAGGGGAAAACAAAAACATCTCAAGTAACCTATACTGTAAAACTCAGGGAAAAATTTTTGTGAACAGCTCTCCATGGAGCCTGACCCTGAAGTTGGGTTCAAGCCTCAGCTCTCTCCTGGGCATCGGTGAGAAGTATCTTGCCAGTGGGTTTTCCCAAAACATCCCAGAACTCTTGGAAGGGAGATTTTGTAAAACGAGTTTCCCTCCAAAAGTCAGGTGTGAGGAACCCATAAGTCTTCAATAGACAATCAAATGTAGCCTGTAGAAGAAAGAATTACAACTTATGATGAAATTGTAACCAGAACCACAAGCAATGCTTATTAAAAAGTCAGAAGTTCATTTGATAACTATTGTTAGCATCTATCTTGATATCAATTAGGAGCATACACGGAGATACCAACAAGAAGCAAACTTATAAATTTAGGGGGAATTAAGGTTTATGAGGTAGATTATGAGCAACAGAAGGAACCCAATGCCGGAAAAATGAAAGCTTTAAACATTTCAAACTCTAAAACTGTATGCAATCCAACATGTTATACAAACAGAAACATAATTTATTTGTGAATACCAACGGAATCCAATTATACATGTTAGATTAGAGTACATGATGACATAATCATACTTCCAGGTACATTTGGCAAAAGGGTATTAGCAAAATCATATAAAAATGCTTGCAAACAATGGAATTATAAGTGATGAGTGTGTGATTAAACCTTGACGAAGTTTCCAAGAGTCTTGGTGGATCCCCTGGAGGAAGTGAAGACATCCTCAATACCAGCAAATTGAAGCACCTTCTTGGGAACTCGAGCAGCCACGATACCAGTGCCTCTAGGAGCAGGCACCATCCTGACTGTGACCGACCCGCACTTCCCGGTCACCTTGCACGGCACAGTATGGGGCTTCCCGATCTTGTTTCCCCAATACCCTCTTCTCACAGGGATCACTGATAGCTTCGCCAATATGATAGCGCCTCTGATAGCGGTAGCAACTTCTTTGCTGCACTTCACGCCAAGACCGACGTGGCCATTTCCATCACCGACGACCACGAAGGCCTTGAATCTGGTTCTCTGACCAGCACGGGTCTGTTTCTGGACAGGCGTTATCTTCATCACCTCGTCTTTCAAACTAGGACCAACCAACTGGTCGATGATCTGGTGCTCCTTGATTGCGAGCGAATGAAGATAGATCTGCTCCAGGCTTCTAATCTTCCCTTCCTTCACTAGACGGCCAAGCTTGGTGACGGGAACCCATTTTTCCTCCTCGTCACGGCGGGGTGCGCGGCGCCGCCGCCCACCACGAGGACCACCACGTCCGAATCCACGTCCAAAGGAGCCACGATCACCACCACCACGCTCTGCCATGGTACGGACTACAAGCTAAGGCAAAGAAAGAAAATGGAGGCAAAAAGAAAAAGACTCAGAGCGCGCGGGGTTGCAGAAACCCTATATCCCGCAGAGGGATCTATATATGGTAGGATTTTCAATAGTATTGGGCTAGAATTTGAGCCCAAATTTTTTGGGCCTCTTATAGCCCGGTATAAACAAAACAAAAACAATTATGCAATTGGAGCGGGCCGAAGTTGGGCCCATATAAAGCGGGTAGGAACCGTCAGAAGAATTTTCCGGGTAGCAAGAAAAGCATCTCTTCTCCTTCCTGGCTGAGTGAACTGCGGTGATATAGTCACAGACGTCCTCCTTCTTTAATCTCTCCATTGACCGATCAACCCCAATTCAGGGTCTCCTAAGTCCGATAATCACTTCAAGCAGCCATGGATGAAGAGTACGATGTCATAGTGCTGGGAACTGGTCTCAAGGAATGCATCCTCAGCGGTCTGCTCTCAGTCGATGGCCTCAAGGTCTCATCTTTTTACTCGAGGAACTCTCTGATTAGTGTTTCTGGTCGAATCTTGCAGTTTTGGCTTGAAATATTAATGGGTTTTCTTTTTGATCCTAAAGGGTGTATCAGATTTGTCTCTGATCTGATGGATCTGGGTGCTCTACTTTGGGGAAGTGATTGGGATATCTTTATATTTATTTTTTAGGAGAGGTTTAGAGATCTGTTGTGGGTAGAGGTTACTTATCAGCTAGAGTGAGGTTCTTGTAGTAATTCAGGATAGTGATAGAATTGTTAAAGAGTTTTTACTACGGTTTCAAGATGCTCACCGATCCCTTTGGAAAATGAAGTTGAACTCCTGCACTTGTTGTCAGAGGAAGCAAGGTGGGGGAGGGGTGATTTTTTTTTTTTTTTTAAATGAATGAGATGTGGATTGTATGAAGATTTGTATGGAAACCTGGAAGCTGAATCCTGTTTGGCTAATGGGAAGTACTAAATGCTTATATTGGAAAGATGTGGGTGGGGACAAGTAAATTAGAGCAGACAGGAAACTGAATTCCAAAAGGAGTTTTAATGATCTTGTCAGTGTTTTCTTCTGTCCTTAGCTTTTATAGATTATATATGCTTGGAATATTACCTTCCATGCTGGAAGGGGTTTTGCTTCATCTTTTGTGGAAGAAAATGCAAAATTCATGATTTAAGTCTTTATTGATATTGTGTCTCATATGAACCAGGTCCTGCACATGGATAGGAACGACTACTACGGAGGAGAATCTACGTCTCTTAATCTCATTCAGGTTCCATTTCTCTATAAACTTTTATTTTAGAGATTCTGTTATATTAATTTTATTTTCCCATTGTTTAATTTGTTTTATTTATTGTTTTCTTATAAACTGTTTGTTTGCAGCTTTGGAAGAGGTTCAGGGGAAGTGATAAGCCTCCACCTCATTTGGGTGCTAGTAGGGATTATAATGTGGACATGATTCCCAAGGTGCCAGTTCCTTCTTAACTTTATGTCACAGTTCTGGTTTCCATTCAGTTTCCTCCATTATACTGACATTTTGTTTTTGTTAGTTTATGATGGCGAATGGAACTCTTGTGCGTGTTCTCATTCATACAGATGTTACAAAGTACCTGTACTTCAAAGCTGTAGATGGTAGCTATGTCTTTAATAAAGGGAAGGTATTGTCTTTTCTTTTCATGCTTGATGTTAGCTAGGCCTCATTTCTATATATATTATCCTTGCTCATTGATTTTTGTATTCAAACCCATGGTAATAGGTTCATAAGGTGCCAGCAACTGACATGGAGGCACTGAAATCTCCATTAATGGGTATATTTGAGAAACGACGTGCACGGAAGTTCTTCATTTACGTTCAAGATTATGATGAAAGTGATCCTAAAACACATGAGGGGATGGACTTGACAAGGGTGACAACTAGGGAGCTGATTGCGTAAGTCCTTTGTTTCTTTGTTCTTCATGCACGCTGTATTTCTTTCTCTGCTTTTTTTTAATTTTATTTTTATTTTTATTTTTTCCTATTCAGTAGCTGAAAAAAATGCTTTAATTGCACTTTTCTTGACCTTTTCTCCTGTTTGAAATGAAATTGCACATGTCTCATTGGTTCTGCATTCTTGGATAATGCATGATAGAGAATGGATTTGATTGTTAGACTCCTCATCCTACTTTGCTGATCATATGATTGACTTTTGATAGGAAATATGGTCTTGATGACAATACCATAGACTTCATTGGTCATGCATTGGCCCTTCATAGAGATGATCGTTACCTGGATGAACCTGCATTGGACACTGTAAAGAGAATGAAGGTGAATAGTTCTTTGGTTTTGTGGTTTACTTTGGTTTTGAGTTTCAATATTATATTGGATAACTGAAAGGTTGTCTGTCCTCGTAGCTTTATGCGGAGTCTCTTGCACGTTTTCAAGGTGGATCACCATATATTTATCCTCTTTATGGATTAGGAGAGCTGCCCCAGGTTTGGCCCCTCTATTATAAATTTGCTTCATAAGAATGGTTCTAAGTTAACTTTTACAGTTTCTTTTATGAAATACCTCAGGCTTTTGCACGGCTTAGTGCGGTTTATGGTGGGACATATATGTTGAATAAACCTGAGTGCAAGGTACTTAAATCCTGTTCTTCATATTTCTCACTGTCGTTTATGTTACTCTGCTTGTCATAGTTTTAGTGCTATTTTCACGGTTGGAAATGGAGTACCTGAGTGGCCATTTTTTCGCTGCCACTCTGCCAGGTAGAGTTTGATGATGAAGGCAAAGTTATTGGTGTCACATCAGAAGGTGAAACTGCTAAGTGCAAGAAAGTTGTCTGTGATCCATCCTACTTGCCTGGCAAGGTAATGCTTGTTATACTCATGTTTACTCTAGCATACTCTAGCATCACGCTGATAATGAAAACTTGAGTTTTCTTTATGCATATCTGGGATAAGATTTATCTTGGCAACTAGTTATATCTGTAAGGCCATTTTCATATCAGGCTCATTTTTTAAAAAGAAAAGAAATAGGATTATTTGAGAAGTGGAACTATATTCTTGGAACCAAAGTCTTAGTGTGTTTTGTGATTTACCCCTTGGTTGTGGCTGCTTCTGAACAGGTTAGGAAGATTGGTAGGGTTGCTAGGGCAATTGCCATTATGAGCCACCCAATCCCAAACACAAATGACTCTCATTCAGTGCAGATTATCCTGCCACAGAAGCAGTTGGGTCACAGATCAGACATGTAAGTTTTTGTCAGAACTTAGAATATTCTTGGAGGGAGGGGCCATACCACTATGGTTTTGTTGTGTTATTATCTTTTTGTTGATCATGAGATGAGAAGGACCCTTTATCTCCATTGCTTCTATTTCAATTTTTACCCCTTTTATTCCCACCTTGTAAACTAAACCCTTTAAAGTAATGAGAACTAATGTCCTTTTGTGAACTGAGTCCACTAAAGTGGCAAGTCAGGAGGCAGGACACCATTGAAGAAAAATATTTTTTGATTACATGTATTTTTTTCTGGTTCTTTGTTTCTTTCTATTTGTACTCTGGCCTCAGAATCTTAAGTCTTATGTTTTCTTGTATGAATGAACAGGTATCTTTTCTGTTGCTCATATTCTCACAATGTCGCTCCTAAGGGCAAATTCATTGCATTTGTATCAACGGAGGCAGAGACAGATCAGCCAGAAACCGAACTGAAGCCTGGAATCGATCTTCTAGGCCCTGTTGATGAGATATTCTTTGATATCTATGACAGATTTGAACCGGTCAATGAACCTACTTTGGACAATTGCTTCATATCAACCGTGAGTAATGCTGATGCTCACTGTTTTTTTAACTTAGTGCTTAGAATGACTACAGGATGCACCCTAATGAGTTGTTATGTTGAACAGAGTTATGATGCCACAACCCACTTTGAGTCAACTGTTATGGATGTGCTCAATATGTATACCATGATAACTGGGAAGGTAAGGTCTTGTATGGATGTGCTCACAGAGGCATGGACACACGCACAAACCTAGATGCATACTGAATGATTTCTGTAAATATCTTCACAAAAGGAGAACAGTAAAAAAGGAAAGAAACACTAGTGATCAATTCTCTATGCTGCCAGTTTAACACTGCTCTTGTTTATGAACAGGTTCTGGACCTCAGCGTGGATTTGAGTGCTGCCAGTGCTGCTGAAGAATGAGGAATACTGAAAATTTATAGCATGTACTGATGTTTGTGCCTTATTCTGCGTTGCTTAGAATGTTGAATGTTGCCAAAGATGGCGTCAGACTTTCTTTGTGTTTCGATTTCTGTTATAGATGGTACCATTGCTATGTGTAATAACATTATATTTATGTTTCGGTGACCCATAGTTTCTTTCTTCACGCCTGGTCAGTGGTAAGCAACTAAGCTTGATTAACGCAATTCTAACATGAATGCATGAATGATGTCAGGCCGAAAATGTGTCGACATGAGTAAATGCATTTCAATTAGAAAATTCTTCTAGACAGTCTGGATTATTGGTCACCCTAACCCATAACACTTAAAACTTGGGTTTTATACGCATATTTTTTTTTCTTGAAATTCTCTACCATCAAAAGAAAAAAGAAAACAAAATCTTGTAGACATACTCACAACGAATGTGGCAGGCAAGAATGGGTTTTTTTTTTTTTTTTTTGGGTTTCATAAAATTTTTCAGGCCGAAAAAATGTTCATACATAAGAATTCTTTCAGGAAATATAGTTAGAGCTCACCGATTATCAATTGGATATCTCTAAAAAAATTAGAATGAATCATGTCAAATTACATTGTTTTATTACAGGAGTTCAAGAAAAAATTTAAATAGTCTTATTTTTATTTAGGCAATTTTAGTCTTTCTTTTTTTATGGGAGAGTTATGGATTATTTTTCTGTCCAGTACGAAAACAATTTTCTTATATAGTTAAGGGGAATTTACTATGATGAATTTGAATAAATTCAAGACTAAGCTTTATCTTCCAATTTAGTCACGGAAAAAGGAAATGTATTTCAGTTTCTACCTGGGAAAGTAATTAAAAAAAAAAAAGGAAAATTGTAATAAAGTTTGGGCTGAAAATTTTAAACTACCTTAAATTATAAAATATAAACTCTAAAAATAATCGAAAAATAACATTGTCTTGGGCTGAAGAATATGGGGAGCTTGGGCTTAGGGACCCCAGTGGGCTGTTAACAGAATCCTAAACCCAACCTAATTTACAAAGGTCGGCGGCTGCTCACCGGACGGCTAAACCCTGCATCATATATAAGTTTCTTGTCCGTCGGAAGGCTCAACGTTCCTGCTATTACTAATTCCTGAAGAGGCCGCCGGTTGACTCTCATCATCTGTGCTAATCTTATCTAATCGGTAGGCAATAACCATGTTCATTGTCGTTTGTTTGCCGGAGCCGGCAGAGCCAGAGTTCCTTACAGCTTTAGTTTGCACATAACGATCTTAATTTGCTCTGAGTTCGTTATTTGTATAGAAAACAATCTTTCCAGGAACCTGATTCAAGCTTACGACTGCCTAATTTGTTTATTATTTTGTTGGGATGCATGCAAAGCAGTGAAAAATGAAGCTGGACGTTGATGTTCTGAGATATCTATCCAGAGAGGACTTTAGGGTTCTCACCGCTGTTGAGATGGGCATGAGGAATGTATGTTTTTCTATAAAGTTCTATTCTTGTTTTACCCTTTTAGTTTTACTTCATGTTGGAGATGATAGAAATTTGTTGTTGATTCCTTTCATTCTTCTGCAGCATGAAATTGTACCGTCAGTGCTCATTGACCGCATTGCTTCTCTCAAGTATGTTCTTTTTCCTTCTGTTTTTCACTTTTCGTATAATTCTATCTCTACCTGCCTAGTCTCCACTCACATAGAAACTGTGTTATCATGGTCCCATTTAAATTTGTGGATGTTTTCTTTTTTATGTGTATAGGCATGGAGGTACATACAAGGTTTTGAAGAACTTACTCAAGCATAAGCTGCTGCATCATGATGCTTCGAAATGTATGTTCTGCTCTCTTTTTCTATTTTCTGACCTGAAGTATCTGCCTTTTCTATGTTGTTAAGTAACTAGTTTTCACGCTTATATTTAGATGATGGGTTTCGTCTCACCTACCTTGGTTATGATTTCCTTGCCATTAAGACTATGGTGAATCGTGGAGTCTTCACTGCTGTTGGTCGTCAGATTGGGGTTGGCAAAGAATCTGGTAACTTTTATTTTTAGTTATGGACTGCTTAGGACTATGTTTTCATTTCTTTTTACCTTGCACTCAATTTTATATCATTTGTGTTTGTTTCAAGACATCTTTGAGGTTTCTCGTGAGGATGGTACTATCATGGCAATGAAGTTGCATAGACTTGGTAGAACTTCCTTTAGGGCCGTAAAATCTAAGCGTGACTACTTAAGGCATCGTAATAACTATAACTGGCTCTATTTGTCCCGTCTTGCTGCTCTCAAAGAATATGCTTTTATGAAGGTACTATCTGTTTCCCTCATATCTTTTGCTCTTTTTTTCCTTCTATAAAATGGTGTTGGCCTTAACCATGGACTCCTATTGATCAGGCTTTAGAAGAACATGGATTTCCAGTGCCAAATTCTGTGGACTGTAATAGGCATTGTGTGGTTATGTCACTTGTCCAAGGTTATCCACTGTAAGTGTTTCCCCTATATCCTTTGTATCCTCTTAATGAAACAATTTGAGTTATAATTGAAAACTGAAAATTGATGGCTGTTGTAGTCTGAAATACTCTTCTTCACTTCTCATTGAATTGCAACGTAACAATCAAAACTGGTCAATATCTCCCATACCCTATCCCCTTTACTTTGTACAAAGGATAGTCCAGATTATGAATTACTCCTTTCCAATCAGTGTGCAGGTAAAGGAGTTGCAGAATCCAGAAGTAGTTTTTGAAACAATCCTTGGCCTTATCATTCGTTTGGCAGAGCATGGTCTCATTCACTGTGACTTCAATGAGTTTAACATTATGGTATGCATTTTGTTATCTCTTTATTGACTTACTCTTTCTCATTAGCTTGCAATTTTGCTATTTTTGCTTCTGTTTTCTTGGAACTTTCTATTAGTTCCTGTGCCTTTATTGAGTTCAATATATTATAGTTGCCCTTGTCCTTCAAATCAAGAGGCTTGGCCAGCTTTTCATTTTTTAATTGGTTTTTAAATTTCTTTTCTTTGTAGATTGATGATGATGAGAAGGTCACCATGATTGATTTTCCCCAAATGGTATCTGTTTCACACCGTAATGCACAAATGTATGCAAAAATGCCTCTTCTGATGCTGTGTCAAAAATTCATGCTCTTTCTAAGTGCAAGAATTCCATGTGCATGTTTTGTTTGAATCTGACATCCTATTCTTATTTCTTTGTAACTTCCCCCTTTTCAGGTACTTTGATCGTGATGTTGAATGCATCTATAAATTTTTTGGCAAGAGGTTATTGACTCTCTTTATGAATTTAAGATTTTATTTGGTATGTTTGAATATAAGACACTATACATTCTTAGTAGGTCTTGTAGTTTCCATGCTGAAGAAATTTGGAGTATTTAATTCTTCCTTGCGAGCCAATTGCTTTATAATTTCTGCAATGATTGATTTCTCTGCTCTAATGTTTTCTTGTACTCATGGGTCTTAGTGGTTTATTGCTGATTATGAGAATTCTTTTACTGCTATGATGATTTTCGTTCTCTGGCTGCTCCATTCTACTTCATTAAATGCCTATGGTTCATCTTTTCCCTCTTTGTTCTAGGTTCAAGTTGACCTTTGAAGAACAAGATGATAATGTTGATGCTTCTGAGGTAGACACAGATGAAAGTAGTAGGCCTTCCTTTTCTTCAATAAACAAAACTGCTGGTTTTCTTGACAAGGAACTTGCTGCCAGTGGATTTACAAGAAAGGAGCAGGATGAGATAGAGAGGGTATGTGATTCATCCCTGGTTGAGTTGCCTCCTTTCAAGTGTGTTGTTGTGCTTAGTATTTACTATCAGAGGAAAAGGCATGCACACATGCATCTTCCATCATCATATATGTTGTCCTTTATCCACAACCTTCACAAAGTGATAGGTGTTATGGACAGGATGAGATGTATTTCTCTATGTACTTTCATCAACTTTATACTCATGGGTGTAGATGATATATGTGTAGATGTATTTCTAGTTTGTTTTCTGCCTCTTTGCTGTCGTCTTTTTGCAGCATCTACAGTGGCTTGTCTTTTTCATTGTTTAACCATTCAAGATATCCCATTGATAATACCTATATTACACTGGAGAATTGCAACTAATGCTAGTTTATGCAGTTTATTGAAGGTGACATTGAGGAGGATGCTGGTGATGAGGGTGAAGGAACTGAAGATAATGGACATGAATCAGAATTAAATAAAACAACCATAAAGGATTTGGGTTCTTTGCAGTTAAAAGAGGTATATTCTTATTGATCTATAGAGATGAGTGATGCCAGTTTTTTCCTAATTAAGCAATAATCGATCAATCATTAAGATGATATTACTTATGTCGGAAAGTCAAGGTTCTGATTAGGATTTTTAGGTGGATTGATGTTTTTTTTTTTTAATAGGCAATTCAACTGGATTAACATAATTAAGCTTAAATTCAGTTTGAGATTATGCTAATTGATTTAAAAGGGAATTTTTTGAAGTGTGAAGATCCCTGTTAAAATTGAAAATGGCCCATATTTGATGTTAGGAATAGTTCATGCCTATTGCAAAAGCAATTAATTTCTCTCTTATATTTTCTTTTACGACCTTGCTCTCCTGTTTATAGCTTAAATTTGTGGTAGGAATTTCTCTTAGATTTTATTTACATTTTTTATATGATTTAGGAAGAGCCAACATCAAGTCATAACAAGGAAGACAGGATTGAGGTGAACCAACAGACCTTTGAAGCAAGCCAAAGCACGGAAAGTGAAAGTGCAAGTGATGGGGTACGATGTTATCTTCACTTTATGCATTTACCATCTTGGTTGAAATGAGGGAATAACACTTGGATGCTGGCTTTAGTGTAAAGTTAAATTCATATTATTTTTTAATTTTTACGTCTCAGGAGGAAGAATGTGAAGGTGAAAATGATGCTCAACTTGTCAAGAGTTTGACCAAGCAGAGACGTCGTGCAATAGCAGCCGCACATAGGGGACGGAAGAATTATGCATCCAGAAATTCTTACAAAGACAAAGGTGGTAGATCCTCACACAACTCTAAAATCCAGAAACAGTTGAATAGCTGGTGAACTTTGTATGCATTACCAGAACCTGTCGTGAAGCATTGAGGCTATGGATTAAATGGTCTCTCCAGTGCAGAAACACAAGAGTGATGATTATAAAACAGAGTTGCAGAGTGACGAAGTCAGCGTACTGTGTAGAAAACAAAAAGGAAAAACTATAAGCATAGTCAAGAATTTTTGTTTTGGATTGTTGTTCTTAGTCCATTGTGGTGATGCCGGTGGATTAAAACCGATAATCTGTGTGTTGGAGCTTTGGCCCTTTTTTTTTTTTTGGCATAGAATCAAATGATACATTTCACAGCTATATATGAGACTCTGAAAAAGGAGTAGGAACACTTCAAAATTTGGTGAAATTTTCTATGGAAGCAACAGAATTTAATCTTGCTTAGTTCCCACTATGTGGTACAACATCATCTAAATTTATGCTTTCAATGAAGAAAATTGCAGTGCACCAGGTTTGAGAGAGTGACAGCGGCTGCTCATTTGTGTCCGTTTGAGACGGATTCAGCCCTGATCTCCTCCTTCCCCTCGTCTGCCGCAGCTTCCAAGTCACCTACTCGTGCTAACTGAACTATGGAAGGAGAAACAGAATCCCCTTTATGACCCACTTGGCTGGAGCCATTGGAGGCAGGCCTTCCCTTAACCTTAAGCTTATTTTTCGCTTGTTTAGCCCATCTTAGGGTTTTGTCTTGAATATGTTCCTCAAATATTTCCTTTTTGTATGAACTTCCCATCTACATTTCAACACACAAGACATTGAAAAGAAGTTTTAACTTCGATCATTTTCTCGGGGGGGGGGGGAAGAATTAGATACTGCCATGAGCTAACCTGTGTGACAATTGCATAGAGTGGTAGGGTGCTGTAACTGCAGACGAACTGAACAAACACTCTGAAAATCATCATCAAAATGAAGCAATCAGAGCATGATTTACATCATCAACACGAATTAATGTAGCAGAAAATCAGTAAGGTATGGAGTTTACCCTATAACGAGTCTTGGGATAATGAATGCGATTTTTCCCATAATGCAGGAATCAAAACCATACTGAACCTGTAATACCATCATGTGTCAGATGTGTAATCAAGCTGAAGTTCTTGTTCTCTAAATTATATAGAAAATGATATAGCTTTTTACCCAAATCCAGAAGAAAAATGCCAATTCAAAAGAGTTCTGGAAAAGGATGATATGTATGAGAAGAAGAACAAGCTTGGGCCTGCCGAACCAGAAGTGATCGTCCTTAGGTTGAACTACCAAATCCCCTTCAATGGCTACATGTTTTTCAGCAACCTCATGGGCTAACCGGGTTATTACATGCTCCAGCTTGGTGCCAACAGCAAGCAAAAGCTGTTTCAAAAAGAAGAGAAAAGGAAAACATCATTCCCAAAAGAGAAATGAAATTTTAAGCATAAAAGTATGGAAGGCTAAGATGTTTGAATTTCTTACACAAAAGGGAATGAATGCTATCCAGAAATATGCATGAAATCCTGCACAAACAAATTGGAACTCTTGTTTTAGGTATGAGAAATTTCTCGCGCAACACAGAGATCTTTGGAAGGAATACAGAAAGTAGCTTTTACCATGGACATTCAGCAGCAAGAAGATGACCACAAAGACCCAAAGATACCAACTGCAGTGGATGAAGTAAGAATTAGAGACATCGATGAGAAAAAGAATGCACCCATATAGGAGAACAAGACATTATTGACATTTTCATAAATAATTACCTTATTCCAACAACTTTCTTGAAATCAGCCTCGAGAACACGCATCATGTACTTGTGAAAATTGAAGGTGGGATTTCTACGGCAATGAGTCTATGCAAACAAAGTTTGGAACCAAAACAAACTTAAGTTACAATGTAGGATGCAGTGCCTCATAATTATTGAGACAAAAACTTGAATGAACTCACCATAATGAATCCCTGTCTCAAAGTGGCGTAATCTGATTTGGTCACGGATCCATAAAATTGCTTGAAAAATGAATGCTGAAAAACAAGATCAAAGCTTTCAAATTGAGATGTACCGTCAATAAGAAAGAGAAAGGGATGTTAAATTTTCAAGTAAGTAATTATATAGATAATAATGATTAACTTACAATCCAACCCAGCAAAGCAGAACGCTTTCCAATACCCAAATAGTGATCCTTGATAAAGGAGTGTTCTTGAACATGTGTAACCTTTGGTGCGTTTAGAACTGCGTTATTGGGTAAAACTTCAATCCATGAAGGAAAAATGCCTTAAAAGATGAAACTTTGAAGCATATAAATTTCAGGTGTTAAAAGGGAACCTTAACATCACCTTGCTCTGGATTGTATTCGTTGTCAGAGTCAGATTTTTCCCAATGCTTCCATTGACGGATCTTTGCACTCCCAAATAGAATGGTGAGAGCACTGAAAGTCACATGGACAACTGCTAGCACAAAAATGAATATATGGAGATGGTGTAGTGCAGTCACAGATAACAATGGAACCTTCTCCTGAAAAGAGAAGAAGAATAAATTGTCTTCCAATATAAAGCTTGTGTTAACACAAGGACTGGGTCTAATTTGACTCTTGAGCAAGCTTCACTCCTTTGCCTTAAAACGCAAACTCTTACGTATAAACCATAATTATCCCTTTTTTTTTCCCCAACAACCCATAACCATCCTTTATCTAATAAAAAATAACACGAATAAGTCAAGCTTGAAACCAAGTTTGTTTAGGTAAAAAGAGTTGACATGCTAATTGTTTTGATTCTGTTTCAGCTTAAGCTCCACGTATTTACACAAAGGGAATAATTTTTGCACAACTTTTTTATCTTATAATTTGATGTGTCATTAAAATAATTAATTTTTTTAATTTATATGAAACCCATGATACTAAATTCATTTAATAATATATGAAAATCATATAAAAATATAAAAAAAAAAATTATCCGTACAACACCACCCTTTATATAATTCAACTCAATTCCAACCCTGAATTTACTTTGAATAGTTTACGAGTGACTCGACTCAAACGCCGACTTAGAACTTGTAGGATTAGTCAAGCCATTTCAGTCTTGAATACAGTTATGTAAGATACAATCTTAATTTCAGAGCGCCGGTTGTAGCACGTCGAAACTTTTGTAAAGCAACTAGAAATTTCGATTCTAGAAAACATTAATTTGCGGAAAATGTGGGTGAACGTCCTTTACAAAACGAATTTATCTAAAGGACCCATTACCGCAAATAATGGCTCCAATTGACAAAGTCAATGGACAGTTAGCTAATTAAAATTTCTATTCACTTTAACGTGAATAGGCGGGCATGTGGAATGGAGATCAATTCAAACCATTGACGGGCACAGCAACATCTCCGATTGGAATAAGCTTGTTTACATATACCCAGTCCAATAA